TTATAAATATTACGTATACGACCATATGCAACATAATGCTCGGTTTAAATTTTCTTATCAAGCTAAAATATGTTCTTCTTACACAGAAATAGATTCTTTCATATATACATTTATTTAAGGTTTTCTACTACCGAGGATTTAGTTGCGTATGCGTAATTAATTATAAATATTACGTATACGACCATTCGCAACATAATGCTCGCTTTAAATTAGCTTATCGAAATATTATTCAATCAAAAAAGTTTATTATATTTCTTATAAATATTTCTTTTACACCAATGTTGTATTCTATTAATCCAGAAAAGAGTTTCATACCTTATTATTAGTTATTAACAATTCACTTTTCACATTCATTTTGTTCGAGGTACTTTGAATTTCATATTTATGTTGCTTTTTGTACACGAGTTGTCTTTTGCTTATTTTGCTTGGGGCTTGCATGCACTTTAACTATGAGATTACTTTAGGCAAGCATAGTTAAAATGCTTGAGAATTGGAGATTATCAAAATTACGTGCAAGCAATACAAAAATAGTTTGCTACGAATTACATTGAGTACTTGTTGCCAATTTGTGTTGAGTATTTTAGTTGAGTTTCAGTTTTACCGCATTGACTGTAACAAATTCATATTTTAAGAAATTACGTTACTCGTTTCGATCAGCATAAAATAATTAATACTTTTTTCAGTCCATATTTGCAAACTGTTTTCACATGCAAATACTATTGCAGATGATGCTCATTTTTTTTCTCGGCCAGTTGCACTCTCGAATCGTTATTTATTTGCCAGCTTCAATGTTAACAATTTGGGCTAATCGATTTCTCTGACAAGCTTGCAGGTGGCAACTTGAATCGCAAACTATGCATTTCCTGGGTCCACACAAAAGCCAGCATATATAGTACAGAAATATCCGAGATATATATAATATTTAAATGGGAATGTGGGGATGCGGATGGAGAGGCATTAGCTGGAGAGTTTTGCATTTGACGTCGTCACGTGGCTGCTGCTGGATTCACGGTTGTCCTACTCGCTCATCTGCCCACATTTTCCTTGCTCTGGTTTTTCCGCTTTTCCCCAGGAAAAGAGAGACGACATCAAATCATTAGCAGTGCATAAAGCGTGAAACCAGGCACAGACATGCAGATGAATTTAAACTATTAGCAGTGGCAAGAGGAAAGAACGGAGCGAACCGACTCTGCAACAATGTTGGACTCTCATCCGCCTGCAAAGTGCATCCATCGTTAGGCATCTGGATTCGGTTGGGTTTCTGCAGCTTATCCTTACACTGTCGTGAAGAATACGTCCTAAAGCTGATGATTTTGGGGGGAAATTAAACGTTGACTAATTAGCGTGTTCTACAAACAAGAAGTTACATTTAATATTGATTAAATATATTAAAGCAACTGACCTCCCAAGATAAATTTTATTTTAGCTAGTTTTTAGTTTAGCTAGTAAAACATTTTAAGAGGACAAAATGTATGAAAACTTGCAGTTTAACACTTTTGCCATGAAGAAGAGAAACAGCTAATATTTTCATAAGATTTTATATTTAGTAAACTATTTCGTTTATTCAAAAGAAATTTATTATTGGTATACAACAAGTACAAGCATTAGGGTGCAAAAAAAAAATATTAAATGTAAGATTACATTTTGAGTTTTAAGAGTTGCTTAAGTTCTTAGAGTTTCCATAAAAAGGATGAACACGATATGTATGGTGGTTAGAATTAATCATTTGATTAAAGGCAACGGGACGTATAAGTGATATCATTTGAAGCCAATGCGTCGAACTATTAAATACCCTAGTTTTTAGTAAGTGTTAAGATTCGTGGTTTATAAAATAATTGAATTTAATTAAAACTGCGAAAATAAGTATTTAAAGTTTCAGAACCTGGATCGACTTCCCCCAGTGCAGTTGCGACCCCTCTCCCCTCTCCCCCCCGCCAGTCCCCTCCGCCCAGCTCGTCCTCATTCTGGTTGTGGGTCTGGTTCTGGTTGACATAACCCTGCACATTGTTATACACGCAATCTTCGCTTCCTCCCTTGGCCTTTAGTTGTGTCGTGTGAATATAAAAGATGCAAATGCAAAGATATTTTTTCCATTTTCCATTTTCGTTTTTAGGCCCCAAGGAAGCGGCCGGGGAGATGATTCGGATGCTCTGCTGAATTGCGGTGAGTGCAACGTTCTGGGGCAACATTGTCACACAGTTTTGTCCATTGTGTGCAAGCGAGTCTGTGCAATATAAATAACTCGGCCGGAGTTGTGTGCATATTTTGTAACTACAACTTAAAATAAATACAAAATGTTAGTTAGTTCCTCTGCTGTTGGCAACCATCATTTGACCAACGCAAAACACACATTCGCACTCACATCAAAAATATTTGCTCAGTTCGTGTTTGTGTTTGTGTTTGCATTTGAATTTTGTGTTTATTCTTTACGAAACAAATCGAGCTCAAATGTTCATATTCTGATCCTCACTTTTTCATCCAGCACTTATTTTACACTTGTGGTTTTTTCACACTCAGAATGGTATGTACGGAGAAAATTGCATTGACACATTCAACCGGAAGTGAAAAGAAGTAAAATTTAAAAAAATATTTAACTTTCACTAAAAGTTTTAAATTGACTAATCAGTTTGCATACAACTGATGAATCTTATTTTCCATGTTGATATATGAGTAGATTGGTTTTATATTTTTATCTTTTTGCGCAAGCAGCCTTACATCTTGATGGTTGTGACTTTATTTTAATTTGTCTGGGGTTTTAGCCAACTATCGATCAGCCGGATACTTACCCAAAAAAAAAACATTTTTTAAAACTGAGCCTGAACAGCTTTAATACAAATAATATAAAGCTTGGGTAGGATTGTTTCATTCCGCTTAGACTTACCATTTCATGTAGAAAAAAACATTGTACGCTTTTTAGGTTTCCATAGGTATTTCTCTTTATTTTTCATTTTTTTTCTTTCTATTTTTTTGGGGTTTTTTCGATTGCGCGCTTTGGAATATTTAGTTGTATAATCAGATTTTACAGTACAAATATTCATTTCTTATGTACATAAACACAAATCCAACTAAATGCTATTATTTTACTTTATTTTTTTGTTGGAGAGTCGTGGAATTTCCATTATTACGCAGCAAACTTTCGTTTTTTGGTTTTACATCTTGAAATTGTTGGATATTCGCATTGCATATGTAGTTGTCAAATATTTTTATATTTTTTTGTTTATGGCTTATCTTTGTATGGCTGTAGCGTAGACATTAAATGCTTTATGATTTGAATGGTTTTCTGGCTTAGTTTGTTATTTCTTAGGTTTTACTATAGTTTAGTTTGCCTATCTTTCTCCGCCTGCAATTTCCACTAAATTTAGTTTTGTTTGTAACAACGCGTTCGCCTGGGATTTTGTTTATTTAAATAAATTATTTTCCTTTGCCTTACACGTGTAGATTAAACGTAACTTTGATTTGCTAGGCGATTACGTTACAATTTCGTACCCGCAAAAAAAAATATTCCCTATATTTAATTAACTTTATTTTATTCATATATTCATTATATTTAAAATGTATGTCCCTCCTATTTTCCCTCTCCATACATTTGCTTTTTTGGTACGTATATGAGTCAGAGTACATCTGAGTAGTCAGCGTTCAAATAATTTTTACTAGCTTCATTTTTTTGGGGAGCGGAGTTGGATATGCGGATTATACATATGTCTGGGTATTACAGTATTTTTTCGGATATGAACACACACATTTTATTTCGGTATTTACCTCTGTTTATTTTCGCCGCACACATTTTTTTACTGCGAGTTGCTTTTAATGCTTTTGGCACACTTATTTCGGCTTCTTCTGATTTCCCTTCCTTTGATTTACATTATATTTAAACATGGAATTGAGCTGAACACGCACACTTGAGTATTACATTAACATATACGTGGTTACTATGGGTGGTATTGGTATGTGTGAATTCTCAAGATCTGAAGACAGAATTTCGAGTGCCAAAAACAGATATATATTCTCTAGGGATTTTTGTAAAATATATTAAAAACTGGCAAATAACAAAATAAAAGTAAAATAATTATAATAAATAAACACTTTGCATCACCATCAAATTCAAAGGAATGGAAATAAAAACTTTGAATAATTTTGTTTTAAATAAAAACAACCTATGTGTAATCTCGTGCAATTTTTTGAAGATACAATTCTTAACCAGGTCTAATTGAAGGTATATAAGTTTTCTAGTATTAGTGTAATATTTTTTCTAACGCTTCAAGTCACACACACACTTTAAAGGAATTCCAAAATTGTCTTAAATCTAGGGTCCGCAATAAGTCTTTGAGCCATGAGAACGAAAGTGTCCAAATCAAGAACCATATTCAAAAACGAAACTATGTCAGGATCACTAAGGGTGTAAATATTTACAGTTTGCGGTTTGCAAAATTTCTTTTTAGAAATTTCCTTCTCTTGGAGAAGGCCTTAAATATATATACAGAACTCTTGATTAAACACTTAAGACATACAGATATATATATGTTTCTTCCAAAAACCCAATGAATTAATGTTTGAATAATTGCAAAAATAACTTCACTTATTATTTAGACATATAGAAATATCCATATCGATGTCATTACCGTATTAATTATTTATAGTACGCAAATATCCGTTTGCAGTCGTACTTTTTGTTTACTTTAGAGTAGCTAAAGCCATTTAAAGAACCGAACACCATTTAATCTCAATATTGTTTATAGTTTATTTTCCTTTTGTGGGCATGGGGTTTTCATCCTTTTCATCATTTTCCACTAACGAGGTAACATTTAAACGCGTTTTATTTCCCACTTAACTACGACACTTTAGATTCTCCTTCTTCCTTTTGATTTAATATGCATTCAATTAGCCCTGTCCCCTTCCCGTTGCCCATCTAACTTTGCAATTAGCATGGGCGTAGATGATTAGCCCTTGGGGTGGCATCCTCGACAACCCCATTGATTAATGCCCTCTTTTTCCTGGCTTGTGTGTTTGTGGGGAGAGCGGGTTGAGGGGCGGGTCAGAGCCTTTTGCATCATAATCTTGTTTGTATAATTACAATTGAATTAAGCTATAATAATCTTACTCTGCCGGCGTTGCCCGTCTCCAACTCTGCGTTGATCTTTCCCAGCACCTCCTCCACTTTTCCGCCTGACCATCCTCGCGCTTATCCTTCTTCTCATCCCCATCCTCATCCTTATCCTCAACAGCGTCCCCATCCTGCTGGCAAGTGAAACTCGCTTTCTTGGCCTTCTTTTGTCTGCCACCTTTTGTGTGGCAGGACAATGTGGGCCCGGCCTTCGCCATCGCAGTCGCCGTTAATAATGCCAATAAGGCTAATAGAAATGTCCCGATTAGCCGCATTGTCCCACGGACGAGGACCGGGCCACTCCCGCTGGCCGGGTGCTGATCCGGAGCCCGTTCCTTGTAGAGCCTGCCGTTCAGGTTGCGTGACCCATCCTCGCTGCGCGAGTCCTTCTGCACCACCTCGTTCTTCTGCGGGATGAAAGAGAGTGGTTTTGTTTTGATTTGATTGTTGTCTTTTCTTTTCGGCTTGCCAAAGTCCTTTTCATACACGTGTTCTAAGGCTTCAAGGGCCTTTTTTGTGGGAGTCTCTACTTACCGACACTTCGTTGAGATCATCATCACGAAGAATTTTTTTGACATGCCCAGGACGCTCCATTTCTGGAAAAACAACATGAAGAGCATGAAATTTATATTCCTTAGGTACTTTTTAAATGTCGCGAGTAAAAATCATATTTTTTTAAGTCGAACCATTTTTGGTGGTTTCTATTCAAAACTATTAAAGCAGGTCAAAACATTTTTTGATTAATAATTGCAATCTACAAGTAAAACTCAATTAGAAAATTATAGCCAAAGATAGATTTATTTTGTATGCCTCTGTAATTATGTCCGGACAATTTATTATACCCGTTACTCGTAGAGTAAAAGGGTATATTGTATTCGTGGAAAAGTATGTAACAGGTAGAAGGAAGCGTTTCCGACCCTATAAAGTAAATATATTCTTGTTCAGGATCACTAGCCGAGTCGATCTAGCCATGTCCGTCTGTCCGTCTGTCTGTCTGTCTGTCCGTATGAACGCTGAGATCTCGGAAACTATAAAAGCTAGAAGATTGGCATTTTGCATGTAGATTTTAGGAGTTCCTACGCAGCGCAAGTTTGTTTCAAAATGGTGCCACGCCCCCTCTGACGCCCACAAGCCACAAGCTGTGGCCACAGTTTTGATGATATTATGAAAATTTTAATTGATATGTATTTGTTTCGTCAATAAATATAGATTGGCCTAATAAAAGTTTGCCACGCCCTCTCTAACGCCCAAAAACCCATTAAACGCTTAAGCCTGGCTAGCGCCTACATTTCCACCTTTCATGGCGCCATCTAACGGATGACTTTGGAACAGCTGGCCAAGGTGCTCAACAGAGTGAACGTTAGTTCTCGATAAGGATTTCTATTAAAGGAAATTGCGATGGTTTTCATTTGTCAATACCGAACTATATCCCAACAACTATGCAAATCAAATCTAGTTAGCCAAATTGGAGGTCTGACTCAAACAATGGCGTATGTGTGTATGTATGTAAGCATATACATATGTATGTATTTACATTGTACACAGTTGCAATTGACCGGCAAAGATAACTCCTTTCAAAGAAAGCTATTCGCTATACCCGTTACTCGTGTTGTGCAAACATTTAGACTTTAATATACATAATACTATTTAAGGATGTATGTGTTTAGCCAATATAAGTATGTATGTTTAATATTTCTAGTCAATTTATTGCACTCAAAAACATAAACATAAACACAGCTGCTGGTGCAGGACAAAAGCTGCCTGCGCTAAAGCAGCGCTGGTGCTGATGCTCGTGCTGTAAAGCTGCCAGCTTAAGAGATCGCCGAATTCAAATTGATAATTTGAACTTTTTGTCCTTTTTTCCTGTGGTCACTCTAATTCACATTATGTTAATGCAAAATCTAAAGTTGTTTAGCTGAGTAACGGGTATCTAATAGTCGAGGCACTCGACTATAGCGTTCTCTCTTGTTCTAACTAAATTGGTACAATTGTCACCTCAATCCTAAATAATTAAGTTTATATGATAATAAATAATGAGCATTTTATATGACTTTGTGTATTACTCACCATAAAGTCGGATGGTGCCCTCCGTATCGCCGATGCTGTTCTTGGAGATGCACTTGTAGCCCCCGAAATCGCTTAACTGCAGCCGCTTGATGTGCAGAATCATCTCGATGGCATACATATTATTCTCCTTTTCGGTGAGCGCGTAACGATCGCCGGCAATAATCATTTCACCTGTTCCCAGGCAGGAAAACGGTAAAAAAAAAAAACAGGAAAATCGAAATAAGTAACGATGAAACGAGATGAGATGAGATGTTATGTGATGAGTTGAGTTGAGGTGAGAATGAAGTCATGAATACGAAGCAGGGAATCGGGCCAAATGAGCTCGGGTTACGTGAGGAGAAAGGTGCAGAGAGGTGCAGAGAGGTGGAGAGAGGCGGAGAGAGGCGGAGAAAGAAGGAGAGAGGGGCCGGAGGAGCTCTCTTGTGATGAGGACACGAGCCATGGATGATGACATTTCTGGCATTGCCGTCGAGCGTTTTACGTTTACGTTGCGGCTCCCGTCACGTTTGCAATATACGTCAAATGCACTTGACAAAAGATCCAGCCAGCCAGGTCACCCTTTCCCACGGCTTTTCCATTCCCCAGCCCTTCCCCTTTCCCCGGGGGACAACAAAATATTTGAGCTTCGAACACGAACCAAATAAAGACAAATTGCGGCATTGAAAGGTTTATAAAGTTTGAACCAGTCCGAGTCTCAACTCGCACAGATGCTAAATGAAAAATTCAATTCATCATTTACTTTAACGACACAGAGAAAAAAATCATTCAACAATATATGATCGAAATTGCTTTTAGATTACATACTATACATACTATTACATACTATAAGACCATCATTAAAATTACATTTTTTGGAAACAGAAAATTAATAAATACAAGCCACTATTAAAAATATTAAATATTGAAGTCATTTTTGGTTTATTCTTTAGATACAAATATTTAAAAAAAATGGTTTTCGTGGCTTCCTTTAAAAAAAAAATTAGGAAATGAGGTGAACGTTTTTCTCGGTGGGTGAATTTTCTTGTGATGTTTTCCCGACTTACCATTCTCGCGCTGCCAATAATTGATGGCCTTCGGCGATGCCTCGACATTGCAAATTAATGTGACATCCGTGAGGACCGGGGCGCCGACCAATTGATTTGGCACTTGCACCAGCGGATGAACTGCGAAGCAGAAGATGAACGAAAAGGGGTTAAATTAGAGGGGGTTACTGCTCCCAGTGGCAGTGCCAATTGTTGAGCCATCAGTGGCTGTGACCTTGCCCGCCCCGCCCCCGCCCCCGCCCCCCGCGCACTAGACTGGCAATTAAGCTGGCCACAAGGGACCAAAGTCAAACTTCAAACCCTTTTGTTGGACTCCAGATTCCAGCTGTGATTTTCCCGCTCTAAGCTTTCAATTTTTTTTTGTTTTTGTTGTAGGTTAATGGCAGCACCAACAACAACTGATACGATTTTAATTGAAAATGAATTATTTTGTTGTTAGAGTGAGAGCCAACAATCCAGGCCAGCAATCAGGACTCGGCAGCAGCATCCATCGTTTTCGCCCAGCGGTCAGTCAGTGGCAAATAAAACGAGCAAGCAATTCTTCCCATTTTTTTCACAGACTTTTCCCCATTTTTCCCATTTTCCACATCCTATTAGGGATACACTCACTCATCGGTGGTGCTGGGAATTGGCTTACTCAGACAGGGGAATGATGATTCCTGAACGGTTTAATGATTTCCCTGTTCAAATCGACTGTTGACGGAAGAGTTATGGAATCACAAAAGGTCACAAACATTCTTTGATGTATTGATTCACTGTTGCAGGATTCGGGGATATTTGAAAACAATTTAATCAAATAAATTTAAGAAAACAAGTATTTAAAACTCTATGAATTCATTAATGCATTTAGTGTTTAAAGCTTATACAATTCTAAAATATTAAAAAAAAATAAAATTATCTATTCTTTATGATTTTTTATAAAGATCAAAATAGATTTATATATATATGAATCAGTACAACGGGGAAATTCCTTATAAAAACTATTAAATAATTCGGTTTTAATGAGGTATTTGAAAACCAAAAAGAAATGAATTGTTATCCACGCTTGAGAATTTTTGTTTTAAATTATATAACCATATGAAATTAAATAACAAAAATATACAAATATTTTCAAAGCTTTACATATATAAATGTCCAAGTATTTAGTTAAAACTTAATTTTTTAGAGCATTTTAAGTTCGCCAAGGTCAGCCCATTAATTCATCGCTTTTGCCCTTTGGAGCTTTTCCATGTTGTTCGTGTCGTGTTAAGTTTTTTTTGCGTTCCTCTTCGATCTTTTTGTAAGTTGTTGTTGTGTTTTTTGTTTTTTTTTGCGTTTTTCACTGTTTTTCTGCCCCTTTCACCCTTGTCTTTGACGTTGTCTTGAAGCCGCCCAAGGGAGCGCAGCAGGAGAGGCGAAAGACCAAAGGAGCAAAGGAGCAAAGGACCACAGGCCAGAGCCACTGACCATCATTGTTTTTTGGCTTTTCAACTTTGCTGTTACAACCCACTGCGCAAACCCCCCATCGCCCCCCTTCGCCCCGAGCTGCATTCGAGCGTTCATTATTGGTCAATTTATTGGATTTGTGCATGCCGCACTCTCGGCACGGCTCCATGTGGTGTCCGGATTTTCAGTCCGAGGGGCCATTCCCCGCCCAGAATAGTGCAGCATATGTCATGTGCTGTTCGCAGAGGGAGGGCGCCTCATAATACCCAATTCCCGCTTTAGCCTACCACTTATTGAAAATTCAATTTGTCCTAATAGAGTTTTCTAGCAGGCAGCATCTGGCAGGCAGCAACAATAACTACTTCTGCTACTTACAACAAGATTTAAGATATTTATTACGCACTTGACTGTTTTTTAATTGCAAGTAATATTAGGTCCTATCCTTTAACAAAAAATCTACTTATTGTATTGATTGTTAGTACAGTAGAACCCCGGTTATCCGGCCTTCGATTATCCGGCCCTCCGCGTTTTCCGGGTTACTGAATGGGTCAATTACAGATTTTCTTAAACATCATTGTATATCAAATATTATACTAAGTCAATACATTTCCCCTTTTGTGTACCTATACGACTAAACTTGATTTCACTTTTCAAAATACGTAGAAAATAATTGAATTTTTTAAATCTTTTATGTCTTCCGTGCTATCCGAATATTCGATTATCCGCGGCACCCCTTCTCCACATAACCTCGGATAAACGGGGTTCTACTGTATTTGTAAAATGATCTTGGCTAGAGATCACATTTAATTACATAAATTAAAATCATAACCATTCAGTAATAATCACTTAAGAAAAATTCTTTTCAAAAAAAGAGTGGCTTAATGTGCCATATTAATTAAATTTTTTCTTTATTTTGAATACCTATTTCTTGGTAATTTTGAATGCTCTACAAATCTTCAACTTTAATTCTCTTCTGAATCGGTGGTGGTGTCGGTGGAGTTATCAGTGGAACTATCAATACATATCAGTGGAGCCACCAGTCGAGCTATCAGTGCACCCATCAGTGGAGCTATCGGTGGAGTTATAAGTGGAGTCATCAGTGGTGATATCAGTGTTGGTATCAGTGGAGGTCTCAGTGGAGTTGCAATCGGTGGTGCTGGCCGGTCTCGGGCTACGTCGGTGATGTCTGCCCCGACCGCCCAACGGAAACATCTACGTATTTACCACCAGAGTCGTCTTTTCCAACGCCTATTCCAAAGCCATCCAAAGTTCCTTGGTCAAAGTCAACGCTAACGGGACCAACCTTAACGCCGAATCCATAATAATTGCCATCTCTTTGGGCCACTACCACTGCCACCAGGGCCAGAAAAGTAATCGCAATGTAGGCTCGCATTCTCACACTTTTGCTCCAATCGCAACTGATGTCGATTCAGTCTACGCCAAGCCCCTTTTATACCCAAAAACTCAAAACATCTCCAAAATGCAGCCATCACCCACCCAAGAATCCCCGTGACGTCATCTGTGTGCTTAGCTGGAATCTCCGAAGAATGGAGAATTGCTAGATTGGGGGTTGTCGAACTCTAATTATTCGTTTGCATATCGTTTGGCGACTGCTGGCCCATGTTGGAATTAAATATATTGTTTCTATTTTTATCTTAAATGTTTGAGTTTGAAATGACTGTGGGACTAAAGAGGAAGATTTGCTGACAACTGCGTCTATTTTGCAAATAAAATAATTTACCTTACGAATAAAAGAGAAAAAAAAGTTTCTAAAATTTGTAAAATATCTAGATTGTACTGCTATTTTGCTGAAATAAACTAGCAGTAAAGCAGAATATTTTTTATATCAATTATTTAACGTTTTTAAAATTTAGCAGAAACAAAACTAACAATGAATATGGAACCAATTATTGGGAATACAAATCTGTATACCCTTTGTAGCATGTAACCTGCAACAGGGTTCCTGGTTCTTGCAACACGAGCTGATGGTGTGTGTATTTAAGGCTGTATGATCGGTAGAAAATGGGGTTCTGTAAATCCTTGTGCTACTTGATCGCAAATACTTTTAAGTCCTAAAAAAAGCACGTGCGGATCTTAACATCGATCGGGGGAGTCGTAAAATTACGCGGGAAAGGTACCTTTTTCGAATACCCTATGGGAGATGTCACTCCTGATGTCACTTCCGGCTTATTTATTATTTATAGCCACAGCGGATGCCCACTCAACCATTATTACCGAATTCCAAAATGTATGCTAATTGGTGATCCCATTTAAAACCGGCAAAGCTAATTGCCCAAAACATATTATAAAAGCTCCGCAGGAAAATGTTATTTAACAATATTTAATATATAATAGAAATTTCATTTAATTTAAGTATCTGTCTTGATTGTTTTATATATGTCTAGTATAACGTAAATAATTAATAAACGTATTAAAAAAAATGAAATTAATACAAAATATAACTTCAAAGAATAATCGGGATTTAATAACTGCAAAGTATAATTTAGGTGCAATGTTAAAAAAAAAAAAATTCATATAAAAATTTCTCCAACTTTAGTCATAGTAATGTGAGCGGTTAGAGCTGACACTAATCAATGACAGTAAAACTATGTGGGGGCTTGCATTTATAAACGTTATTTACGTTTTTTTTTTTATTTCATTTTATTTATTTTATTTCACTTCTTTCCTATCTGTTGTTTTATTTTATTTATTTTATTTTGATTTCTCCACAACTCACATCCCGCAACACTCTCTTTAATTTCACTTAAATTCACTAAATAACTATAATAAATAATGAAAAGGAAATATAAAATGATACCTTTTTCATTTTCAAAATATCGAAAATTTTTTTATTGCTTTATCTTGAAGAACAACTTCTTGAGAACATTTCCCCAAATTTTCATAGAGATTTGAGCAGTAGAAGGAAAGTTACAGCGCTCCTAGCCGCGCTCCTCATCCCCGCCCAATCCCAAACTTGAAACTTTAAACGCGAATATCTCGAAATGGTGTTTTGAAAAATGACTTTGCGGTGATATGGATTGGCCAAAAAACTACTGAACCGGCTTTTTTCAAATTTTTTTTTTAATGTTCGTAATGAATTTGTGTGTACTTGAACAATCGATTTTTCATGGAAAAATTTTTATTTCGCCGAAATAGATACTTTTGTAAGAATTCTAACGATCAAAAACTTCATTATACCTGTTACTCGTAGAGTAAAAGGGTATATTGTATTCGTGCAAAAGTATGTAACAGCTAGAAGGAAGCGTTTCCGACCCTATAAAGTATATATATTCTTGATCAGGGTCACTAGCCGAGTCGATATAGCCATGTCCATCTGTCCGTCTGTCTGTCTGTCCTTATGAACGCAGAGATCTCGGAAACTATAAAAGCTAGAAGATTGACATTTTGCATGTAGATTTTAGGAGTTCCTACGCAGCGCTAGTTTGTTTCAAAAGGGTGCCACGCCCCCTTTAACGCCCACAATCGCTTAAATACGATTTTAAAAATTTAAATATTTCGGAAAAGTACAAATGCAGTTTTATTGTGTTTATCAATAGCTATCGAAATGTAGAAGAAATTTTTCAAATCGGACCATTCGTTAAAAAGTTATGCGTGATCAAAGTTTCTATCTCCATCTCCCTCGCACTCCCTTTACCTGAGTAACGGGTATCTGATAGTCGGGGCACCCGACTATAGCGTTCTCTCTTGTATTATATGTGAAACGGAGCACAATATTTTTTTGCAGAACTGTACGTATTGACAGTGAATCAAATTTTTAAATATTTTTATATATAAAAGATCGGCCAAAGAGGAAGCTAATCAGAGCTAAGCGGAATGTTTTTAAAAGCTCGCAGGCGTGGGCGTTGGAAAGAACTATTGGAGTATGGAATAATTCAGATAGTTGAGATCTGGGCTTACTCTATATACAGAGTTACAAAATTATCCTGCCACAGGGCTTACTTTTAGGATAGACCAAGCGCACTACAATACCACTTAAGTGTTTGTAAAATTATCTTGGCTAGTTGTCATATTTTATTACATAAATTAAAATCATAGCCATTCAGTACTAATTATCTGAGAAAAAGTGTCTTTAAACAAAGAGTGCTTTAATGTGTCAAATTAATTATATTTTATTTATTTTTATACCCTTGCAGAGGGTATTATAATTTCAGTCAAATGCTTGCAACGCAGTGAAGGAGACATTTCCGAACCTATAAAATATACGCAAACTAGTCCTTCAGTTTTAAAGCTATCTGCCTGAAACTTTCCCAAAAGTTGTCTTTCTATTGCAGGTAGTATATAAGTCGGAAATAGCCGGATCGGGCGACTATATCATATAGTTGCCATATAACTGATTGATCTGAAATGCCATAACTTTGGTGTTTGTAATGGGATTTTCTATGGGTTTTATTTTTGGCCCATTAATCCGACCTACCAAATTTCATAAGGATCGGCCGACTATATCTATAGCTGTCATATAACTGAACGATTGCAAATGCCATAAATTTGGTGATTTTAAAGTTAGGAAGTTGGGATTTTTTATTCATTTTAGTTTTGGCCAACCAATATAATTTACAGAATATTCTGCAAGGGTATATCAACTTCGGCTCCGCCCGAAGTTAGCTTTCCTTTCTTGTTAAAACCTATTTCTTGGTAATTTTGAATGCTCTACAAATCTACAAATTTACTCCTTAATTCTCTCCCGAATCGGTGGTGGTGTCGGTGGAGTTATCAGTGAAACTATCAGTGGTGTTATCAGTGGATCCATCAGTAGAGTCATCAATCTAGATATCAGTGGTGTTTTCAGTGGAGTCATCAGTGGTGCTATCCACTGTTCTCGGTGGTGCTATCGGTGGAGCTGTTCTCGGTGGAGCTTTCAGTGGAGCTGCTCTTGGTGGCGCTTTCAGTGGAGCTGATCTCGGTGGAGCTTTCAGTGGAGCTATCAGTGGAGCTGCTAGCCGTGGAGCCGCTTTCGCCGGTAGAGCTCTCGTTGGAGTTGGATGGAGTTGTGGCATGTGTGGGAAGGGGGCGACGTGTGCGACCTGGGTGACCTGGGCGAACTCGTTGACGTTTAGGACCTCCAGACCCTCCAAAACTTCCACGACCTCCACGACCTCCACGATATACAGGACTTTCAAAACCTCCAGGACCTCCAGGACTTCCAGGACCTCCAAGACCTCCAGGACCTCCAGGACCTCCAGAACCTCCAGGACCTCCTAAACCTCCAGGACCTCCAAAACCTCTAGGACCTCCAAAACCTCCAAAACCTCCAGGACCTCCAAAACCTCCAGAACCTCCAAAACCTGCAGAACGGCCGGGACCAGGATTGTCAGAAGGGATACGACTTTCGTATTCACCACCATAGCCTCTAGGGGGCCCTACTCCAAAGCCACCACGGCCACCGAATCCACCACCATAACCGCCATCTCTTTGGGCCACTACCACTGCCACCAGGGCCAGAAGGGTAATCGCAATGTAGGAACGCATTCTCACACTTTTGCTCCAATCGCAACTGATGTCGATTCAGTCTACGCCAAGCCCCTTTTATACCCAAAAACTCAAAACATCTCCAAAATGCAGCCATCACCCACCCAAGAATCCCCGTGACGTCATCTGTGTGCTTAGCTGGAATCTCCGAAGAATGGAGAATTGCTAGATTGGGGGTTGTCGAACTCTAATTATTCGTTTGCATATCGTTTGGCGACTGCTGGCCCATGTTGGAATTAAATCCATTGTTTCTATTTTCATCTTAAATGTTTGAGTTTGAAATGACTGTGAGGCTATTTTGCAAATGATTAATAATTTACCTTTATAAAAAAACAAGAAAAAAAAAGTTTCTTAAATTTGTAAAATATTTAGACTGTACTGCTATTATTGTGAAATAAACTTGCAGTAAAACTGAACATTCTTTGTATCAATTTTGTAACGTTCTTAAAATGTAGCAAAAACAAAACTACCAATGAATATGGAACTATTTATTGGGAATACAAAACTTTTTTTTTAAATAATTTTGAAATTGTATATTAAACCAGCATTTAAGTCTAAAATATTTTTGCTTAAAGTCTAAAATACGTTTTAGCTCATCTATACAATTTCAACTAAAGTTAATTCGAATCATGGCTGTCAAGGCTGTCTTAAAGGGAGGGATTTCTTAAACTTTGCACACCCACTTAGTGCTAATACCCAGCGAAGGACCTCCGAGGAGCCACTTCATTTTCTGATTAGAATCAATCAAGTAGCGGGGTGAAAAGTGCGCCAAGGTAGACGTGGGTGGCTTTAAAGTAACGCGACTTTTCCCGCTTTTCGCACATATGGACTTTTGAATTAAAATTACGGGGACCGAGCGGTGGAAGGCATCTTTCGAAGTCAAGTGAAAATAAAATGACAAAGGAAAACGAAAACGAATTTGTGGCATAGATAAAATAAAATTAAAAGGAAAATTAATTCTTGTGGCAAGGAGAGAATCGGCAGGATGTGTGCGTGGCTGAAAAAACTGGCGCCACATTTTCACGACCGTGTCAATATAATTTTCGGATACGATCTTTTGGATTTTCAGCCAAGCTGATGCTCCTTGGTTTCGCCCCGCTTTCCTCCATCTCTTTTCATTTTTTCCCTTTATTTTTGTCTGTACTCTTCCGCTCCTCTTGCTTTTCCGGTTACCAAATTGTCGTCGTTTGAACTTTCGCCCCTTTGGAAATTTCATTAACTTTGATGCGGGAAGGTAAACCATTATGAAGGGGTTACGAGGGGTTTTTAAGAGGGTATTCATGGGGGCAGACAGGGGGATAGTGCTGCACTGCCCTTAACAATTACCACTTCACATGATACACACACCCACCAGCTCACATGAGCTTAAAGTTTTACTGCAGAAACGTGACGTTGCGTTGCCCCAAGAAACACTTTTACCCCCGCACATTTGCCATTTTCCCAGTCCGTAAAAATGCCCTTTGACCCCACTCCCTCCCCCCCCCATTCTTCAGTTTGGCAACCTAATGCATTTGGAAAGTTTGCCGGCCACGTGAAGGAAGCTGCCGGATATCGAAACGGAAACACTTGCATTTGCCGCCGCTGCGTTATTGCTGCGGTTCTTTTCCTGTTCCTGTTCCGCTTCCGGTTATGGTTGTGCTTCTGATTCGGGCTCCCCCTCCTCCCCCTGGAAGCCCCCTTCTGGAACACGCACATCACATCCGAGCCGGGCTATATGTTACCATTATGATTATTATACGGCATTAGCTGCCTTCGGCTGCCATAAATCAGGGCATTTTCTTGGCCAACAGCAGCAGGTGGCGCCACCCATTTATCATGTATCATATATGGACGTACCATACATATTTATATAACATATATGGAGCACAGAATATAGAGAGGTGGAACAGGGGGGGATACTCACAGTGCACCTGTAGCTTCATCCGTTTGCTCACCGTCGGCGGCACTCCGTTGGAGGCGATGCACATGTAGGCGCCCATTTCCGATCGCGTGATCTTTGACAGCGTCAGCATTTCGCCCTCCACCGATTGGGCTGTGGATATACAAGGCCAGGATACACGTATATATTTATGTATAGCAGACATGGACATGCGGTCGGTTAGTCAGCTCAAGTGTGAGCCTAAGGTGTTTCAATGCTTTCGAGCTCATAAATATTTTAACAAAACTTTTCAGTATTATACAGAATTATTTAATCATTAGGATAAGATTGATTAGCTATACAAACTTAGCGTCTTTAATAGCCTTTTGCTTTTATTAATTCAAATCTCAGCGAATACGCTTGAAATCAACAGCAGACTATTTTGAAAATCATTTAAAATATTTGATTTTTTAATCGGTTACGGTTGGCTTATTAACACTATAGATTGTGGGGCTTGTATTATTTACCTTTTGTTTTCTGGTGCGAGCCATTGCGGGCAATAATTTCCCTTCCGTCCTCTCGTCGCCACGTGATCTTGGGTTTGGGATGACCTCGAGCTCGACATACGAGTTTGGCGGACCCGCCCTCTGGAACCATCATATCCCCAGAGGTCTCTTCATTGATGATGTCCGGCGGAATGACCACCTCCAAGGTGGCAGTCTGTTGGCGAAAATATTTCAAAACATTTTTTAATCATTTGTTCGAGATATGACACAAATCACGTATACGACGGGTTGCCTATCCTTATGAAAATCATTATGGTCTAAATCTGCAAAATATATGCTTTATTTTTCGGGTTTTTAATCAAAAGCCTGGGAAATAGTGGTCTAATGTTGGAATGTCATATCTTGTTAAATTCGTTATAATTTTCCCAATCAAGTGGCATTCACAGCTTTCTTGAAAAAAATATTGATGATAGCCCTTATAAAAACTATGAAAATCCGGAAAAAAACAGCTTTATTTTCCGGTTTGTTTTTGTCAAAACACTGTGAAATAGTGATCGCATATTGGAATGCCATACATCGTTGAATTTGTTTTACAATTTCCAAAAAAGTGACATTCACAGCTAAAAAAATTTATTTTAGACCAGTTTTTGCAAAAAATTATTTTAAAAAAAAAGTCTGAAAAAATAAAAAATTATTCCAAATCAACCGGGAATCGAAAGTTTTGGTCCTTAGCTGAACAAAACAGTCGTTTATTTGGCCGTGCATTTTATTTCGGCGAAGTTAGAACAAAACAAACAAACATGAACATTATTAAATACAAATATTTTGATTATCCATACTTCTCAATTATTAGAATCTAATTTTACCAGATGTGTAATATTTTGCAACTGATTTCTATTGCTTGTGCTGAGCTAATTACACATTTTTTCGGCATGTGATAGCTAGTTGGCTACAGTGATCAATGGCAGTTGAATTTCACGAGCTGTTGCCGCAGCCAAAAGTTTATTAATTTTATATCGTATCACTTGGACGCTTTCATTGCCTTTCATTAGACCCTAGCCCCTTCTTCAAAAATACTTTAAAATTAATCTTAAAAAAAAAAGAAATAAAGACGTGTTCGTTCAAAAAGATATTTCGCCACCGAAAATTCAGCTGTAGATAGTTCCTTCACTTTACTTACAGAAAAAATCGCTAGCTTAATGACGCCCTAGATTTTCAGATAAATATTGGACCTTATAAGCTACTCCTGATTAATAAATTCAATTCATTAAATTACATTCAACACAACTTAATCGTTGCGCTTTTAGCTTTAAGCCATTAAACCATTAAATGCATTAATGTGAGCCATTTTAACGAGTATTGGTCAACATTTTAGCTGCACTCTGCGACAAATTGTCGTCTCATTATAAAGCCCAGTATCCTGCACCCTTTTTCCCTTTTTTTCGCCTTTTTTTAACATTTGTTTCGTTCTGCGGTTGCTGCCTGCTAGCAACAATAACCGAATTGCTGCTATCATTGTCGTTGTCATTGTCATTTTTCCCGCTGCAGTTGACAGTTGTGTCATAAAATAAAGTTGACGTCACGGGGAAAAATAAAGGAGAGGCTGGCTGGCTGGCGGAAAAAAGTGGAAAACCCCAAACGAGTCAAGCGCGAAATTTATACGACAGTGGGTAAAAAAGGCTTGAAAGCAGGACGGCAAGCGAGAAAGCTGGAGAAATGTCAAGCCTGTTTGCTTTTTATTTGTCTCATATTTGCTTTTCACTCAATTCGCTTTGTTAGGTTGATTTTATTACAAGCTGGCGGATGGGTTCCGCCACTCCTCTCCTCCTCTCTCTCACTCCCCCCCACTTCCCCTCACACACACACACACACACATTTTCCTCATCATCCTTGCTGCATAAATGAAATGAAATTGAAAACGCAATCGTTTTGCACATGTCGTTTAATGGTGGTGCTGCATAAAAAAAACTCAATTCAACTCAACTCAGCTCGACTCGAGTAAAGCGTGGCACACACATAGGAAAATTCCCCCCGGAAAATTCCAGAGGATATCGCCTCCCCCACACACACACCCCCACAAAAACGCTCTTTGATGACGTCAACATTGCAACGGCGTTGTGTTTGTTATTTATTTTTGTCATTAAAGCGCTTCATTGTTTATATATCGTGTTTAAATGTCACCCCACACACACACACACTCGAGACAAAAAAGAAAGTAAAGAAAGGACGAGGCCGGTATATATACACACACATATACACCAACACATGCAGAAGCCAAAGAGGGAGTTTCGACATTCCGGGAATAATTTCATTATACCCCCACTCTTCCTGCAATTTTTTGTGCTGGCCTTCGGAAAAGGGAACTGAAAGTTGATAGCTTCGATGCTTTGTTAGTTTCAAGAAATTAGGCTGCAGAAAAAAATAAAAGGATTTAAGGGATGCCTTTGGCTATAGACCCAAATAAAAAAAATGCAAGAAGTATGTACGTATATCGCTTTGCATTATTGCTTTAGGCCGAAGATTTGCATAACGAATGTGAAAAAGAAACATTATGTTTAGGTAAAATCCAAATGAAAAAAATAGGTATGAAAAGAAGTTTTGTTTGATAAAGCACTTTGTAATATTTATCGAACTTTAAATACGCTTTAAGAATAACTTGCCTCGATTTTTTATCTCAAGACCAGTTTGATTTAAGATTTAGTAATTATTGTGATTTTCCGTCAATTCTTTATTAGCTTAAATTTCTTCATCATGAAGAAATATACTTCAATTTACAGAGCACTCCCAATGAACACCGGGAAACAAACCGCAAGAATAAATACAAGAAAAAAAGTCGTCTCGTTATTCCGAAGTTTATTAACCCATGCAATTAAACTATACACTTTTCGACCAGTTCCAATATATTAAATTATATGAAACTCTACGAAATGTATTTGTGCTTTTATATAAAACTAGATACGATCGTGGGGAATTTGGTCATTTTATTGTAAATTTACCAAAACCTATAAATTACTTCAATTAAAAATGGAATTTTTAAGAAATTATTTTAGAAATACCTTTTGTTACAGTGTGAAAATACATAACGATTTAGATGTATTAAATATGCCTGCCAAATCTGATGAAATCAAATCAAAAGGTGATTTTTTTTCACAACGCGAAATTCTGTGGCACTTTTACTTTTGATGTTAGAGACAAGTTTATGGGCGTTATCTATTTATTCTGTTAGTATCTAAAAATGTACCAATTTTTCAAATAAAATATTTAGCTTGGAAGTTGTTAAAACAAACAATGTTAAAACACCTAGCTATGATGTCAGTGCCATTCGGCAGATGGCGTGCAACAATCATGTGACGCGTCAATAGAGTTGCACATTGCGCCATCTGCTGGGCAGTATTTATTTTAGAACTAAAAGTGTGACTATTATTTTTTGGTTACGTCACAAAACAAATTATACGTTTTTCCGGGGGGAGGTCATTGTGTACCCGCTCTGAAATCGCAGCACTCACCTGCATCTTCATGGGATCCGTGTTGACCTGACACATGTATTTGCCGGCATCCTCCATTTTGACGCTGCGTATGTTGAGCGTCCATGTGTTGTAGTCGTTGTGCTGCACCGATAATCGATCATTGTTGGTTATCACGTGCTCGTGTATGGCCAGGATTGCCTTGGCATCGGCCTTAATCCAGGCGACCTGATGGTGCCAGTTTGCCAAATGGAAACGGGGGCGGTGTTCGGTGGAAATGGGGGAAAATGGAGGGAGTATCGGGGAAATGGGAAATGGAAGTGGGGATAAAGGGATAAGCATTGTTGTTGTTGAGTTGATGACAGCGTGGGTTTGAATGTGCGTGGGTGTATGTGAATGTGTGTGTTGATGAAGACAACGGTTGGCCGTTGTTGCATGTCAAAGTGTTGTTTGTGTTTGTGTTCCAGGATATATACGTATGGGTGCGAGCAGACGCCAGATGTTCGGAAATTGCAGTTTGATATCCACCCACAAAAAAAGTTTTGGGGTCATCACATTTAGTTAATGCCATTATTGGCAACATTTGCGCATTGTCACCGTCGGTTGGTTGTGGTATTTATTGTTGAATTACCCAAAATATGACGTTATTTTGTTGTTAAATTACCCATGTTGTGGTTGTTGAATGTTGTTGAAGAAATACCAAATTTTAAATTGGTGAAGTTTTGTATGTTGTTGTTGAATTACCCATTTATTTTCATTACGAGTTCCAAAAAAGAGAGAACCAATAAAACCATTAAATTCAATTTGTGGTTATATTGAAATTTAAAGTGGTGGGTAAATGGAGAATTTTTGAGTGGGTGTTGAAATGTTTAAAAGCATGGGGTTTTCGGAATGTTAAGCATTTGCGATAGTGTCGTTGCAATGGATTCAAAGGAGCAGGCAATTGTGTTGATAGTCGGTTTGGGTTTAAATTTCAGTTCGTTGTTGTATCGCATTGGTGAAGCATTGTTATTGGCATTTTTGTTTTGGTCAGCGTCAGATGTCAGCGCAATTTGACGCCATTTCCATTTTGCACAGGAGCAGTGGCAAAGTTTTTGCAAGTTTTTGGTTTTTGGATGTGGGTATGGTCGGTTTGGTTTTTTTCCGGTGGTTTTGCCATCGAGTCCAGATTGTTAGAGTCGTTTTTGTTGGTGGTGTTGTTATGGTCGGTGGATATGAAAAGGGATATTTCAAGTGCAATTAGTGGAATTGGGTTTGCGGTTTTCGGGTTTCAGCGTCCATCGTTGGCCATTTGGCGAATGGATTTTAGTGTTTTTTTTGTGGATATGGGTTTTAGTTTGCGTTCGTGGAGAGAAGAAACATTCAACAATTAGTTAACATTTTGCGCTTATGCAATCGCTTCGTATTTCTTATGCAGTTCCATACAATTTCTTTTTTCGTTTTCGTAACCAAAGAGCAAAGATAAAACAAACATACATACAATAAGAAGTAACGCTCACATGTGCAGCGCACACACATAGAGACAGTTAGGGGTTAGAGGTTAGATAGAGACAGACAGAAACGAAGGGAAACACAAGGAAACACAAGAGTCATGAATTATGGGTGCAGTTGGCGGTGCGTTGTGAAGCGGCTAATCAGTTGGCATTAACATCGCATGCACAATTAGAAAAAAGAGTGGATTAACGTCAAGGGAAGGGGGGAGAACGACTAAAAGGGATATACATATATGCTGTCTGTATGGTATGGTGCAAGGCAGGCAAATGTTGCAACACTCACAATCTTCCATCCCACTAATCCTAGCCCCTGCGCCACCTCCCTGCTCCTCTGCTCCGCCTAGTTTTAATTAACATTATGATGTGCCGACTGAGCGCAGTCTACGGGTTTTAGCTAATAGGCTTAAGCGGCTTTGTGCGGACGAAACGAAAACGGGTTTCGCAAATCCGGAAAGTGAAACGGGGAACGGTGGAAAAGGAACTAACGATAAAGTCGGATCGGTACACTCAGGAGAAAACTGGACAGAAAGGCTGTGTGTATTACGAAAAATCCTCTAACCTGTACGAATTTTTTCCATTTCCGAATGGTGTCTTCCCGGCTTAGAATTCCCAAGTCATTATTCTGAGGAAGTAGCGTATATATATAGCTTTAAGAAAAAAGTTTTCAATTAACAGTTTTATTATTTAAACCTATTTATTTGGTAACTGAATTTAATTTTGACTATGAATTGCATTTTTTAATAACAATATACAAATTTTGTCACCAAATAATTAGAGCTTTCTATTAACACTTTAACAAGTCTCACATCATTTTTGTTTTATGAAAAGGTGATTTTAAATGAGCTACACTTATTTGATGTATGTTTTCGGGTTCAGAAATGGACTTTAAATTCTTCAAACACCTTTATGTCCTTGTAACAGAAATATTTTTTCAATTTTAAAAATTATATCAATAGGTATTATAATTCTGAAGGTTTTATAAGTAACTAGTATTTAAAAATACAATATATTTGGGATCACAATTTTAGTTAACTGATATTTGTAATGGTTACAATATGCATAAGCTAAACACTACTAAATACAGCTGCCCTTAAAATTCGCCTGATAATAAAATGTTTTAGTAGTTGAAGTAATCAAATTTGTAATACTGCTTTTCTGTAATTTAATAAAATGGAAAAATAATGTGTATAAATATCCTTTAAGTGTATGAAGCGACTTTAAGCCCATTATAAGCAGCTACATTTTTTTCTAAGCTCAACAGCACTGAGTGCATACGAAAAGGTCTTTTGACTTTTTGTGATAAATCTGTAACAGTTAGAAACTAAAATTTCCTTCGCCTTTAATATTTTTCATAGCTGCTGATTGATATAACTTTTGACTAAAAAGTGATAAAATATTTGCCATTAGTCCTTTGTGAACTGCCAACTCGACAGCCGTTTTGCTGACTTATATTGTAGCGGGTCCAGCGATCCAATAAGCAGGACTGCCAATACAGCTGAGACCCAGACTCAGATTTTTTTTCAATTTTTTTTATTTGTTTGAGTGTGTCAATAGCGGGACTGGGCGAAAGGTGGGAGTACGAAAATGTGGAGTGGGGTTGATGGGTTATGAGCCTGAGCTTGGAAAATAAATACCCATGGACAGCAGCCAGGAGGTACGTTTGATGTTGCAGCGCGACGGCGGCACTGGCGCTTTATTTATTTACTCAATAAAGCAAATTTATTGAGTAATACATGGAGTGGGCGAAATCGGGTGGTGGGGGAGTTTTCGGAGGAGTGTTGGGGGCCGTTGGGGATTTTAAACAAAGGCTCAAACGGATTGTGACGAAAATCAGGCAAACAAAGAGGAGTCGAACCAAAAATCGTAGTGGGAGTGGAGAAGAAATGTAAAGCTGATTGTAAAAAATGTTCAAATGTAAATGCAAATAAAGCGAGCAAATGTCATAAAGTAAGTTAACAGTTACTACGTGGGCAACACGACTACATAAAGCACGGCACACACACACACATTCGGTTGATCACTCGCACACACAAACACGCATATATATTAAATACATAAAAAAATGGTGCAAAGTTTGTTTCGGTTTGAACTCGGTGCGCTTGAATTTATTTTTATTCATATTTCTCTGTATTTTACTAACCAAAAATAAAAATATTAAAAGATGCCCAGAAAAGTGGGCTAAAAAACGAACCGAAAAGCGAGAAAGAAAGTATAAACAGAGATATATATATATATATGTATATAGAGGCTGAATGTGAGTGCAACAGAGAGCGCATCACGCAAATGAAAACAATGCCATGAATTTCGCGTTGTTCGCATTGTTGTTGGCATCGTTGTTAAACAAATGGATGAGCAGCAGTAGTTGCGTTTCGCAAAATCATCCATAGCTTTCCTGGCAAAGAAACCTTTAATTCTGCATAGCCGGCGAGGAGCTAAGTGGATTGGATTCAATTCGACCACACTTTATTTTAATGTTTTTAATGGGATGGCCACAAACAACCCAGAAAACTCAGCATTCGTTAAAGTCACTAATCTTAAGTTCCACCAGCAGAATTATTTTCTATAAATTGATTATCAAACATATTCAGTTTTAACTGTCCATTATCGGACAGAAGGATTAGAAAAAGGATTTCAATATATTTAAGTTTTCATAATAACATGAAATGTAGGTCGACCATGGCTTAATCTATAAAGCCATTTATTTATTTTATTAGAGGCATAAGTAGTAGCTTTTTATTGAGTAATTACACAATCAATGTACTCTGTATATTCAACCTTAGCCTTAGACGGTTATTTTTTGCTGCCAAAAACCAATTTTTTTATTGAAATAAATTAAATGATATGCCAATTTTCTTAAATTATTTAAATTTCTATGATTTTAGAAATTATTAAAATCATATGTAAATGTTTTTACCTATGTAATAAGTTGGATCTTATTAAGCAAGACATTATCTATCCTAAACTTAGTACAGCTTGAAATAATCGATTTGAAACTTTTTCAGAATTGACCCTCAATTACATTTAAATAATTCAACTGTTAGATTCTATCTATCGCCTCGCCATTTATTTTATTATGTTCACATAAATTTGTATGTATTTATTTATTGTTTAAATAAAACGACAAGGGGCACTACTCTTCCCTCTCCTCTTGCCCACATCAGCCATCTCTCTGCCGTTTGGCTTGGTTGTTTTTGCTTGATTGAAACATCGAAGGATTTATATGAAATGGCGTTTTTATTTATGATGCCATTTCGTTGATTAACACTCCTTGACGCGCGACGCAAACAAGCAGAGAGACAGGGAAAGAAACATAGTCAGAGGGGTAAGAAAGAGAGGGAAATACTGGGGGAAAACAAGCATTTCAACTGCCAAATACCCTTTATTTATGTGCAATTAAATTCAGTCATCATAAGTCTGAAATACGTAATGGCAAAATTGTATTGTAGTAAATAAAGAACTAAAGAAAATATTGTATTCATGCATTTTTGTAAGACATTGATGAATAATAAATGATTTAGTTATCTGATCTGATACTTAATTAAGTATATTTTAAAGCTTTGTTCATAAATTATGGAAGGCTCTATTATTGCCTCAGAAACTTATTGGTTTTTGATGAATGTGTATGGCATGATAATGTGGCCATTGCACACACTAAAACGCACTCAGTAAAAACCAACGGAAAACTTAAACAAAAGCAATTAAATGGGACTGTCGGTCACGTTTAAAGGTGTCCTCCAGTTTCCCCTCAATTGAACAAAAAACGCTTGGATAGCAGGTGTTTCTGATACGCTTGATAGACTTTGTATTTAAAACAAAGCTTCGGTCTTTTAGACGCCTTTTAGTGGAATCAAATATCCGTGTGATTTTTATCCCATTACAAACAGAATATTGATAATAAAAATATTAAATAATAATTATTAAGATTATCTTAATCACTTTCGGTATGCATATTTAATTAATCATTTTTTTTTTGTAAAAGTAATTACTAAATTCCGATGATTTGATGGGATAACCTTTTATTATGTAAAACCCTGTTTGTGCATGCATTCGAAAGTAAAAGTTATCGATTAGCGAACTCATGTGTTTCTTTTTAGCTTCGCATATCGATGATGGACTTTTTTATAATCCCATAAAATCCCGTGTTGATCGCTTAGAACGAATGACTTTCGCGATAAAGGGATAACCAGGCTTTAAAGAGATTAAATCCTTGCCGATACAGTGGCTTAATTTGTTTTCATTGTTTACGCGATGCGACCTCATATACATCCCCCTCTGGGAGGCGCTGAATAATAGCTATTTTACATTTATTATTGTGCCTTTTTTTTTCTCTTTTTAACGATGGACGATTGTTTATTGTTGTTAACAACAATCGCTTACAGTTGGCGGTTTTTTGTGCGCTGCTCTTTTATCGCTTAAATTCTTTGGCACAATGCCGTAGTCGGGACCCCGGATTCCCGGATCCCCGGATCCCCGTATACCCCGCTTCGTGAGTGTTATAAATTAAATGTGAGTGCTAATAATAATATAATACGACGATAAAAACAATAGGCAATGCATTTTTCGGTCTCGGTTTCGCATTGCACAAATTGTGCCATGTTTATTTAAATTTATTTTTTGATGCTGCTGCTCGATTCGTCGATGCGATGCGATGCGATTCGAATCGATTCAATGCGATTGTTGTTATTTTCGCAACTATTATTGTTTGGTCCTTTTGGCTTAGTCTTTGCTGTGCATCGGGCCGTTTAATATGCAGAGTGCTCTATATACACAGGGATGTATGCGTAGCTATTTTTTGTACTATATATATCGTAAATATTGTATGGTGCTATGGCTGTTATACTGGTAGTTAACTATAGATATGCGTGTATAGGAATAGGTGCGCTTAACAGTTACATAATTGCGATAATTGTGGTGCAGTTTGGAACACTTTATTGTTATTGGTGCCTTTTAGATTGGAAAATCGGTAAAACTGTATTAAGTTATTTGAATATTGTGCACTTGAAATGACAAATGAAACGGAACGCAAGAGCTATATATGTAAGTATAAACAAAAAGAGGAACCAAACGAGTAAGTAAAACCAAGGGAAACGAAATGGAAGTCGAGAATTCAACGCTGCGCTTGAAACCGATACATACCTTGGCTGGGGCTGACGAACCGTCACCACTCACCCGATGACCCCCGAGGTTGTTCACCACGCACGTGAAGGTCGCGTCCCGACCTTGGGCTATGGTCACGTTCTCCAGCGGAATCACAAAGTCCGGCTCGAAGGCGCCCACTGAGGAGATTTTGTTCGAAACGGTAAGATCTTCATTTCAATTGACATTTCCATGAAGAGAAGACATTGATTGAACAATTAACACAATTTCGAACAAATTTACACATGTATGTGTTTTGTGTGCGTGTGGGTGTTTGTATTTGAATGGGTGGCATTGAAATGGCACAGAGAAAAAATGTAAAATCAAATCACCATAAATAAATAACAAATAGTTTATATGGAATTATAGATTTGTATAATGATTCAACTGAACAAGTTAAATACAAGTTAATACAAGAACAATAAGAACAATTTTTATATCAAGCTGTATTTTTATTCAGGGACTACAAGTTGAAATTGGTTTAAGTGTTTTTAAGATAATTTTTGATAAATTTTAAGTCATTTTCTCTTTTTTTTTTCCTAAAATGTAGGTTATTTTGACATTTTGTTGGGTCGTTTTAGTGTTTTTTGAGTATGTACATATAGGGAGTATACATATATTCGAATAAAATTCGTGACAATAATATTTAATAATTTTTTTATGAAATATCAGACGGCAAAATATTACATGACACATATCGAATTGTCATAAAATCAGTAAAAGAATAATATAAGCACGTTTGATAAATGAGAAGACATACATCTGTAAGCATAGTATGTTAAAACTTCCATGGTAATATATGTATTTTAAGGATAACATTATAATTTGTATGAAACCATGCCACATATCATATCCACTTTAAGATTAAGTAGGCTGTATTTTTCTCTGTGCAGGTGTTTATATATGAGTGGTTTTGTGTGCATGTCGAGCGGCCTGTCAACGTAAGGCAAATCAATAAGGTTAAGCTGAACGAACCAATTAGATCGATAACACCCATCGATCTAACCGGGAAAATCAAGCAAGCAAAACGTCGTAAGAGCAGGAATATTGGTATATTGATTACAATAAATTGGTCGATTACCGATATTCGAACCTTTCGATAGTGCAGGATTATCGTAAGAAAAGAAAGCAAAGCGAAAACATTTATTTATATTTGCCCACGCTTCAGCGCCAGAGCTCGTTAACTTTAACGATCCGCCATTCACTTACCAATGCAGTTGCAGAGCAGGAGGAGAAGGAGCAACTGCCAGCGAAAGGCTGGCCCACATCCACCTCCGGTTCCGTTTCCGTTTCCAGATCCTCCCACTCCAGATCCACCTGTCGCAATCTCGAGTGGCGCCAGCTTGCGATGATTGGCTAATCGGGTCTGGTTTCGATGGGAATCGGTATTATGCTCTTGGCTACAGCTGATGTCGGCGATCCGCTCGCCGCTTTCCTTGACCACCAGCAAGTTCATCATAAGACTGTCCTGGCTGCCATTGGCGTTGGCCTACTTGGATATTAGGAGTGCTGGAAGTAAAAAATAAATAATAAAATAAATAAATTATATTATTACTGTAGTCATTTTAATTGGTTTCTCATTTGTAAGCCTATGATAACACATTGACTGTCTATGTATATATTGTGTAACATATATATTAAGCAAAAACGTATCGTTTAAAAAGGTAGCCAATTCGAACTTGATCTGCCTAAGGATTTAAAATATCTCTCTGCCCGCGCTGCAAACATCTGACTAAGTATATAATCAACTCAAATATAAAACTTTGTTACTGATACTTGATATTATCAATTAAAAGATAAATGAACGGTATAGCGAACCGAAGACCAACGACACCTGAAATACCACCATTTATTTTTGTCATTACCTAAGTTCATTGCTGCAAGCAAATAAATAAACTGGAAAACGCCATTCAGCCTTCCACAAAGGAGCACCGATTAACTCAACTTAGCTCCTTGTCTGCTTACTTATTTCTTCTGTCTGTTATTCTCTCCTCGATTTGGCTGCGATGTCAATTTGTCGAAATAAATAATCTAAGACGTACGTATATATTGTAGTGTTTGCCCTGGTATCTGGTAGCTTGCTTCTTGTATCTTGTAGCTGCATTATCTATTGACAGAGCGTTGCATGCCCAGTGTGGCAATAGGCGACAGGCGACACGGGAAACAGGACTCGGGACTCGGGACTTCGGACTTGGCTCAAGGATTTCAGACAGCGACCTGCCTCGCCTTTGTTTGGAGACAGCCACATTTTTATTGCCACAAAGGAGGAGCCAGCGAAGGATCGGCAGAAAACAAGGAGGAGGAACTTTTTGTGCACAGAGAAAAGAAAATTATCCTTCCAGCTTGATAGCTTCCTTCCTTTCAAAATGGCACTTACGCAGTAAATGAATTATATCCTATAGAAAAATAAAGATTAGTTTTGGGAAGGCAAAGCTTGTATAGCATTGTAGATATCGCCAAAGAAGAAATAAATCTATATAACTACTTGTGCAGGTCGGAGGATTTTGATAAAATGAACAACGAACTACTAAAATCGTATAAAGTACCAACTTGGGTAAAAACCAAAGGGTACAAAAAAAAGTGTAGTCTTTCAATACCGTAACGACAAATAATATCAATATCGAATATTGTAAGCAAGATTTTCGCACACATATTTTTAAAACCTTGCATTGTTAATAATCAAAATGAAAGAATTTAGTGGTATTTTTAACAATTTTCTTGAGTGCATCTGGTTTTTTCTTGGCACAGGACTAGGACGGGATAGGACGGGATAGGACCTCTCACAAAGGCGGAGGACAGTAGAGCGCAGGATACGGAGCCCGCACGTGCCGCTATTTACATTTGCACGTAATAAATTCAGAGAGCGAAGGACGAGCCGCAGGACGAGGACTAGGAGTCGCAACAGGAAATGTGCCGGAAGTGCATATGCCGGCTGTCGTTTGCCCTCGGCCCCGCCCCGCCCCGCCCCGCGGCCCCACCCCCTCGGCATCGCCGAAGGACACGGACCAACACCAACGTGTTGCATTCGGCGGCACTCTCCTTTGCAGCGGCACACATATTTACATTGACGAAATTTAATGAGCTCACAAAAGCAGGCCCAAATATTTGAGCTGCGATGGCTGGATCGAAGCCAGCACATTAGTGTGGGGACGTGTGCGAGGCGTTTTATTAGATACGTGTCCTATCTGCCGCCCATGTCCAAGTCCTGGGTCCTCAGTACTTAGTCGTTGGTCCTTAGTCCTTGGTACTTGGTCCTTTGGCCCGCAGTCACCCCTTAATAATCATCTGCCCTCCTCTGCCGATGCGGGCGTCTTTTGTGCACTTGGCACTCAAACACTTTCCACACTTTCCGCACTTTCCCCATTCGCCGTTCCAGTTTCGTGGGTCAGATCTGATATGTGAGATCCTCTGATTGGTGCTACCCGTAACAAGCTCCTTTTCATGCCGCCTCACATATAAATAATGGCTTGACTTCACCATAAATGACACAGTTTGCGCAACTCGATTCTCGTATGCTTACCAATTAATCAATGCTGCGCCTGGCCTGATAATTGGGCTTAAATTTATTGTCAGCAAATACATTATCGCATTTCAATGCCATTATTAAAGTTCACACGGTTTTCAGTATTATTAGAACTTAAATGATTCATTTATTATTAAATAGAAATACCTTTAATTCGTACAATTTTGGAACTTCTATTTAAAATGATAACTTTCAACATCACTTGATAAATTAAATTAAAAAATATCGAATGTTGCATCATCAAATTTCATTTGTTTTCTGTATTGAAAAATTTGCCAGCATACAATCAAATTTTGATGTCATTATTTTATTTGCCCTTAATTTAATAATATTTTGACAAAAGGAATTACGCAAAAATTATTTTTATTGATTCCAAATGAAAACACAAACAAGAAATGGAGCTAACTTCGGCAAGCTGAATCTTATACACACTTGCAACTGCAACAAAATTTAATTTTATATCTGGTTTTATATGTGTGTGTTTTAGAACACTGAAGTTATGTCGTTTTTACGATTAATATCAATCTTTTCTAAAACAGCTTTATGATTTTTTTAACTTTTTAAAAATTTACATATATTTAGTTGTTGAAAACAGCGAATGTCTGTCCATTTTCTTATTATTATCTTTATACAATTACAATCTTCCCTATATATAAACACAAAAAGTTAACATTTAGTTTTAAGTTCTTTTTTTTTATTTTTGCGAGCTGTGATAAATATGCTATAGTCATCCGATCCGGCTATTCCTTTTTATTTACTACCTCACATTTTTTAAATATTTCTGAGCACAAATTGTTCTGAGCAAATTAAAAAAAATGCATGACATTTTTGAAATATTTCTCTAGTTACCTTGTTGAGAGTGCATTTACTTTTCGTTGCACTCTTGGCAGGACAAATTGAATTACTGATGATAATAATATTTTGATTTTCCCCCACACAGGAAAAGTAAAAATATGGTTAAAAATTACTTTGTTACTGGTTAAATTGACGGTCAGGCAGTTGCAATTTTATTAGGGTCAGGCGGATGGGAAGATGCCGGTGCCCTCCACTCAGCCCATCTGAAATGCCAGCCCTTTCCCCAGCTCAGCAAGCATTTTCAGGCTTTTAATTGAAACAAAGTGCCATGGCTGAAACTCAATATTAGAGTAAATATTGCCGGTGCGTTGAAATAATTTCCCTGGGACACGGATCCGAGATCTCTGGCTCAGGTGGCTTAATATAATTTCTGATTTTGCAGAAGGCGAACGGAAATGAAGGCAGTTAATTGTTCTGCTTGTTGCCTAAGTGGCATTCTCCTTGCATTTCCATTACCTCACCCCCTTCCCGTGTTTTCACCATCAGCTTTGATTTGGTTTTTTGTTTTCTTTTGCTGAAACTTAAAGTAAATCAATTCCTGTTTGCGGCCGAAAATGCCTGTGTGCTTTTGTTGCTGACATTTAAAATTACACACTTGGGAATGCCAAGTTTTGCTTCAAAGTAAACAGAATTAAACACACAGATTCGGGGGAATGGTGGGTGGATGAAGGGGCAAATGACAACTGGCCATCGACTGGCCATGGAACGTGCTCATTTCCCCATTTTCCCACCCATATTGCCACCCACTTTTCCACCCACTTTTCCACCCACCTCCAATGTGGTCGTTGTCATGGTCAGCAAAACTTACTTCTCGCGGCGCTAGTGAAAATGGGGGAGAATATTTCTGGGGGGCTGAAATGGGCTTGGACACCACTGTACAACTAGTATAACTGTATTTGCTTAACATCTCACAAGCACACACACTGAAAAGCCCACATGACCACACATATGAAATACAAATATCTAGCTATTTGGCTAAATGACCCGACTACTTGTTACCCCCCATTAAAATCTTCTCTTAATTGTTGGCAGATGTAGTAAACTTACGAACAAGTTTATTAATTTATTAAATCATTTCAAATACTTAAAACGGTTATATTAACAAAAATATATTTCATGTTAATGTGTAATTTTATGAACAAATCATTTATTAATAGTATACGGCAAATGAAGCAAGGATTTTTAATATAATATATTAACAAATACATTTATTGAACGGGCTTTCTATGAATGAATACAAATAAACAGAAGAGTAGCGCCTTTTTAGATGAAAAATTTTATTAAAGTATAAACGCACATGAAGTTTTATTAAATATGTGGTTATATTGCAAATAACTACGTTGATATTAATTAATTATTAAAAATGCATTTGGATCCTTTTTATATAAGACAAACCTTATTTCTTTATAAATCACTATTTAAAAGTCTTTTCTAAAAATGTTTTAATATGATACCAAAAACCAAGATCCAACAGCTCATTAGCTGGGAATCGAACACCAGCTACCTACAAAAATACCTCGCACAATAATGCAGCAAGCCGTTTGACTTGCCCCACCCATCGTGCCGCCCCCATCCCCCCTTTGCACACCGCCCCTGGAATGTGCCACATACACCTCGTGTGTTAGTCTGGGACTTTAGTGCTGATGCGACAGATTTCCGAGACACTGGGACATGTGGCAAAGTGTAAATGAGCAGTCCAGGCCAGAGCTTCTCGCCTCGTGTGGCCAGCGGCACAATTGTCGCACTAGTTTGGAATGGGACTGGTCCGTCCCCCCCCCCTCTCCCCTTCCCCTGTCACGCCCCTGCCACACCCACACCAACGCACCCGCCCCACTGTCCACAGCTTGAAAATGCCTGAATATGCGTGAGTGTCAACTGGTCCACATGCACGAGAAAAATGCGAGCTCGTGTCATATTTTTATTTGCTGGCACAACTCCCAGTTTTGCACCAACTTCTCCACCTCTTTTGCTCCATCGTTTGTTACTTGGGCCACGCCACGCCCCACATCCCCCGCCCACCATGCCGTGCGGTCTAATTGAGCGCTTTGGCTTTGGCTCCACCAACCTGACCTGCCGGCCATTGAGCCGGCTAAAAGGGGTGGCAGGATTGGCAGGAGGGGGAGGAGGAGCA